AGGGAAAGAAGTCACTTGGTCGACTTACATCTGAGCCTCAACGATTTCGAAAGCGCAATGGCGGATCCGTTCGCTCAAGCCGTGTTCCGAGCGTACCGCGATGGGCTTCTCGCATCACAGCTGCAGGCGGAAAACACCGGCCCTGAGCCGGCGAATCCAGGCGCGTCAACTCACGAGCAGTTCTATTCTGGATCATCGCAATACGCGGCGCAATACTCGGCGCCAGCTCATGATGCTCTGCACGGAGGATCGTCGCTGCACGCGGCGTTAACACAGCAGCTGATTCAAGAAGCGGCGCGTCATTCTGCGTTTACTCAGCAGTTAACTCACGAGACGATCCATGGCGGAGGATCTCAGCAGAATCAAGCGTTCACCCAGCAGAATTCAACGTTTACTCAGCAGCAGAACCCAACGTTCACTCAGCAGCAGCAGTCAACGTTTACTCAACAAAATCCAGCGTTTGCTCAGCAGCAGCCAACGTTCACCCAGCAGCATCAGACGTTCACTCAGCAGTTGACCCAAGGCGGAAGGGGCTCGCTCCATGAGCAGCTGGCGGTGGGAGATGCGGCGCACGGAGACGCGCTGCTGCAAGGAAGTCTACCAGGAGGGAATCATGGAGGTTTTGCAGCTACAAACGAAGCAGCTACAAATGAAACAGTTGCAACTGAAGCAACTACCAATCAAGCTCATGAAAGTTTCCTGGGACAAGCGGATAATAATCTGAATGTTCCGGCTGTTCAGGACAACCTGGGAGCCCATAACGAAGCAGCTCAAAACGAAGCAGCTCAAAACGAAGCGGCTCAAACTGAAGCAGCTACCGAAGCAGCGCAAACTGAAGCGGCTCAAAATGAAGTGGCTCCAACCGAAGCAGCTCAAACCGGAGCAGTTCAAACCGAAGCGGCTCAAACCGAGGCGTCTCGAACTGAAGCGGCTCAAAACGAAGCAGCTCAAAACGAGGTCACGGTTAAAGTCGAGGAAGGCGCTGGTCCGGAATCCGGGACTGGCGCCGGAAATCGCTCCACCGCTGTCGTTTCTAACAGCGCTTCTGCGAGCGGTGTGTTCTCCATGCTCCTGGACATGCAGCACCAGCAGCAGCCGCTGCAGACCCCGCTCACGCCCGTCCCCGCCGTTCCACCGCTCGCCCCGCTTCGTCCCAGCGATCCCAAGTCCCCGAATGCTGCTGCTGTCGTGGCGTCTGGGTTTGGACAGAGTGGGTTGCAGGGGCAGCAGACTCGTCCCGCGAATAAGTATGATGCGCAGAAGCAGCGGGATTGGAACAATTTCAGCCAGTATTTGGCCCGGCATCAGCCTCCTGTGGCAATGATTCGCGCTACACCGCGTCATGTGGTGGAATACATGCGCTATATGGACCAATTTGGGCGCACGCGTGTACATGATTTAGGATGCCCGTTATATGGGTCTAGCTCGGTACGGGAGTCATGCGTCTGCCCTATGAAGCAGGCGTGGGGGAGTTTGGACGCCCTGATTGGCCGGCTGCGAGCCGCATTTGAGGAGAATGGAGGGAGGCCGGAGACAAATCCGTTTGCAACAAGAATGGTGAGGGAGTACTTGAATGGAGTGAGGGTTTCCCAGGGTAAGGCGAGAGGGGTGATTTATGATAAGAGAAAGAGGGTGGTAGAGGAAGGGGGGGTTTATGACAGGAGGAGGAGAAGAAGGGTGGAGGAAGAGGATGAATGGGAGGAGGGGGCCAACTGGGGGGACTATGGTGGGGGGCAGCAGCAGATGTAGTGTAGACACAGAAGCAGCTTTCTGCATGGGCAGATAGTTCAATTGTGTGTTTCTGATTTAGTAGACTGTAGAATGCCGCTTTCTTCTCTTTTGTGCTTGTGTTTTCTGAGATCCAGGATGTTGCATGCTGCTGTTATTCCAAGCTGCATACTTTGCATTCTCAACTAATCTGTAGCCCCAATCAGTTTGGGAATGAAAAAAAAGGCTGTGAATTGGAAATATGCAACTCGTTGGAAGCTGGAAAATGTACTGTAGGTTGAAATCTTGCTCCATTTCTGTAAAATGCACATATACTGTCACACGCCTTTGTCACCCCGACGCCAACCAAACCAACTCCAGCTCCTGGTTCTCAAGTGTGTATGGTACTGCTGCTGCTGCTGCTGCTGGAGCTTCCTCACTTGCAGCCTGGCTGGCATATGAAATCACTTGTTGCTACTACTTTGGCACACACAAAGATGCTGCATGCAGAAACGCATCTGCATCCACACCAGCAACTCTGCCTTTCGCTTCTCGCCCTCTGCTCCCTTGCCATCCTCCCTTGCTCGTGCTCCTGCTCCTGATCCCTCTGCGCCTTTTGTCCCCTCCGTGTCGCCTCTGCAGCAGCAGCAGCAGCTTCAGCATCTCGTGTCATCTGCTGCACGTACTGTTGCCACGTTGCCTCCCTCTCCTCATCCCTATCTTGCACCCATCAATTTCATTCACCCTGCCTTTCGTTTCTCTCCCTCTGCTCCCTTCCCATCCCCCCCCGCTCCTGCTCCTGCTCCCTCTGCTCCTTTTGTCCCCTCTGCGGCTGCCTCTGCAGCAGCAGCAGCTTCAGCCTCTCGTGTCATCTGCTCCACATACTGCTGCCACATGGCCTCCCGCTCCTCCTTCCCCCCGTCGAACCCAACAACTTTACTCTGCCTTTCGTTTCTCTCCCTCTGCTCCTTTTGACCCCTCTCCAGCACCAGCAGCAGCAGCGGCAGCAGCCTGAGCTTCAGCCTCTCGTGTCATCTGCTGCACATACTGCTGCCACATGGCCTCCCGCTCCTCCTTCCCCATACCTTCCATCTCCCCCACTGCACCGCCCTCCCCCTTCCCCGCTCCCCCCTGCCCCTGCCAGGACTGCTCGTCTGCTCCGAAGGGCAGGCGGGGGGGCGCCATCCAGAGGGCGAGGAGGAGGGAGAGGTGCGTGAGGAGGAGCGAGAGGGAGGAGGCTGGTGTGGACGGGTAGATGTTCCAACAGAGCTCGATGGTCAGCCAGAGAAGCAGTCTGGAAGGGGGGAGGGGTGGGGGATGGGAACACAAGGTGTGGGAGGGAGTGAGGAGGGAGAGGAGGATGAGGAGGAGGGAGAGGGAGGAGTCCAGGGTGGACGGGTGGAATAAATCAATATTGTTGGGCGCACACCAAGATTTATTTCTTGGCACTTCATGAATATTTGAAGAGGATAGGTCGAGGGAATGGCGAGAACAACTGAACTCCAAATGGCATTGGTGTACGTGTACAGTGTACTCGAATTGAGCACAGGGCGATAAGATAATGAATGAATCTCCTTAAAAAGCGTACAAAAATATGGATCTGAGTGCTGTCGTCGAATATTGCCACTGTCGTCGAATATTGCCTGTGTGATGGTGTCATGGCATCAGCACTTACCTAAGTGGTGTGGGGAGAGGAGAGATCCATAGGAGGTAGGGGATGGAGAAATAGTACCTGAAAGGGGGGGGAAAGGGAGGGGAGGAGAACTCAAATGCAGGGGGGGAAGGGAGGGGAGGAGAACTCAAATGCAGAGGGGGAAGGGAGGGGAGGAGAACTCAAATGCAGAGGGGGAAGGGAGGGGAGGAGAACTCAAATGCAGGGGGGGAAGGGAGGGGAGGAGAACTCAAATGCAGGGGGGTAAGGGAGGGGAGGAGAACTCAAATGCAGGGGGGTAAGGGAGGGGAGGAGAACTCAAATGCAGGGGGGTAAGGGAGGGGAGGAGAACTCAAATGCAGGGGGGTAAGGGAGGGGAGGAGAACTCAAATGCAGGGGGGGAAGGGAGGGGAGGAGAACTCAAATGCAGAGGGGGAAGGGAGGGGAGGAGAACTCAAATGCAGGGGGGTAAGGGAGGGGAGGAGAACTCAAATGCAGGGGGGTAAGGGAGGGGAGGAGAACTCAAATGCAGGGGGGTAAGGGAGGGGAGGAGAACTCAAATGCAGGGGGGTAAGGGAGGGGAGGAGAACTCAAATGCAGGGGGGGAAGGGAGGGGAGGAGAACTCAAATGCAGGGGGGTAAGGGAGGGGAGGAGAACTCAAATGCAGGGGGGTAAGGGAGGGGAGGAGAACTCAAATGCAGGGGGGTAAGGGAGGGGAGGAGAACTCAAATGCAGGGGGGTAAGGGAGGGGAGGAGAACTCAAATGCAGAGGGGGAAGGGAGGGGAGGAGAACTCAAATGCAGGGGGGGAAGGGAGGGGAGGAGAACTCAAATGCAGGGGGGTAAGGGAGGGGAGGAGAACTCAAATGCAGAGGGGGAAGGGAGGGGAGGAGAACTCAAATGCAGCGGGGGAAGGGAGGGGAGGAGAACTCAAATGCAGGGGGGTAAGGGAGGGGAGGAGAACTCAAATGCAGGGGGGTAAGGGAGGGGAAAAGAACTCAAATGCAGGGGGGTAAGGGAGGGGAGGAGAACTCAAATGCAGGGGGGTAAGGGAGGGGAGGAGAACTCAAATGCAGGGGGGTAAGGGAGGGGAGGAGAACTCAAATGCAGGGGGGTAAGGGAGGGGAGGAGAACTCAAATGCAGGGGGGGAAGGGAGGGGAGGAGAACTCAAATGCAGAGGGGGAAGGGAGGGGAGGAGAACTCAAATGCAGGGGGGTAAGGGAGGGGAGGAGAACTCAAATGCAGGGGGGTAAGGGAGGGGAGGAGAACTCAAATGCAGGGGGGTAAGGGAGGGGAGGAGAACTCAAATGCAGGGGGGTAAGGGAGGGGAGGAGAACTCAAATGCAGGGGGGTAAGGGAGGGGAGGAGAACTCAAATGCAGGGGGGTAAGGGAGGGGAGGAGAACTCAAATGCAGGGGGGTAAGGGAGGGGAGGAGAACTCAAATGCAGGGGGGGAAGGGAGGGGAGGAGAACTCAAATGCAGAGGGGGAAGGGAGGGGAGGAGAACTCAAATGCAGGGGGGGAAGGGAGGGGAGGAGAACTCAAATGCAGGGGGGTAAGGGAGGGGAGGAGAACTCAAATGCAGGGGGGTAAGGGAGGGGAGGAGAACTCAAATGCAGGGGGGTAAGGGAGGGGAGGAGAACTCAAATGCAGGGGGGTAAGGGAGGGGAGGAGAACTCAAATGCAGGGGGGGAAGGGAGGGGAGGAGAACTCAAATGCAGAGGGGGAAGGGAGGGGAGGAGAACTCAAATGCAGAGGGGGAAGGGAGGGGAGGAGAACTCAAATGCAGGGGGGTAAGGGAGGGGAGGAGAACTCAAATGCAGGGGGGTAAGGGAGGGGAGGAGAACTCAAATGCAGGGGGGTAAGGGAGGGGAGGAGAACTCAAATGCAGGGGGGTAAGGGAGGGGAGGAGAACTCAAATGCAGGGGGGGAAGGGAGGGGAGGAGAACTCAAATGCAGGGGGGTAAGGGAGGGGAGGAGAACTCAAATGCAGGGGGGTAAGGGAGGGGAGGAGAACTCAAATGCAGGGGGGTAAGGGAGGGGAGGAGAACTCAAATGCAGGGGGGTAAGGGAGGGGAGGAGAACTCAAATGCAGAGGGGGAAGGGAGGGGAGGAGAACTCAAATGCAGGGGGGGAAGGGAGGGGAGGAGAACTCAAATGCAGGGGGGTAAGGGAGGGGAGGAGAACTCAAATGCAGAGGGGGAAGGGAGGGGAGGAGAACTCAAATGCAGGGGGGGAAGGGAGGGGAGGAGAACTCAAATGCAGGGGGGTAAGGGAGGGGAGGAGAACTCAAATGCAGGGGGGTAAGGGAGGGGAGGAGAACTCAAATGCAGGGGGGTAAGGGAGGGGAGGAGAACTCAAATGCAGGGGGGGAAGGGAGGGGAGGAGAACTCAAATGCAGAGGGGGAAGGGAGGGGAGGAGAACTCAAATGCAGGGGGGTAAGGGAGGGGAGGAGAACTCAAATGCAGGGGGGTAAGGGAGGGGAGGAGAACTCAAATGCAGGGGGGTAAGGGAGGGGAGGAGAACTCAAATGCAGGGGGGTAAGGGAGGGGAGGAGAACTCAAATGCAGGGGGGTAAGGGAGGGGAGGAGAACTCAAATGCAGGGGGGTAAGGGAGGGGAGGAGAACTCAAATGCAGGGGGGTAAGGGAGGGGAGGAGAACTCAAATGCAGGGGGGGAAGGGAGGGGAGGAGAACTCAAATGCAGAGGGGGAAGGGAGGGGAGGAGAACTCAAATGCAGGGGGGGAAGGGAGGGGAGGAGAACTCAAATGCAGGGGGGTAAGGGAGGGGAGGAGAACTCAAATGCAGGGGGGTAAGGGAGGGGAGGAGAACTCAAATGCAGGGGGGTAAGGGAGGGGAGGAGAACTCAAATGCAGGGGGGGAAGGGAGGGGAGGAGAACTCAAATGCAGAGGGGGAAGGGAGGGGAGGAGAACTCAAATGCAGAGGGGGAAGGGAGGGGAGGAGAACTCAAATGCAGGGGGGTAAGGGAGGGGAGGAGAACTCAAATGCAGGGGGGTAAGGGAGGGGAGGAGAACTCAAATGCAGGGGGGTAAGGGAGGGGAGGAGAACTCAAATGCAGGGGGGTAAGGGAGGGGAGGAGAACTCAAATGCAGGGGGGAAGGGAGGGGAGGAGAACTCAAATGCAGAGGGGGAAGGGAGGGGAGGAGAACTCAAATGCAGAGGGGGAAGGGAGGGGAGGAGAACTCAAATGCAGGGGGGTAAGGGAGGGGAGGAGAACTCAAATGCAGGGGGGTAAGGGAGGGGAGGAGAACTCAAATGCAGGGGGGTAAGGGAGGGGAGGAGAACTCAAATGCAGGGGGGTAAGGGAGGGGAGGAGAACTCAAATGCAGGGGGGTAAGGGAGGGGAGGAGAACTCAAATGCAGGGGGGTAAGGGAGGGGAGGAGAACTCAAATGCAGGGGGGTAAGGGAGGGGAGGAGAACTCAAATGCAGGGGGGTAAGGGAGGGGAGGAGAACTCAAATGCAGGGGGGTAAGGGAGGGGAGGAGAACTCAAATGCAGGGGGGTAAGGGAGGGGAGGAGAACTCAAATGCAGGGGGGTAAGGGAGGGGAGGAGAACTCAAATGCAGGGGGGTAAGGGAGGGGAGGAGAACTCAAATGCAGGGGGGTAAGGGAGGGGAGGAGAACTCAAATGCAGGGGGGTAAGGGAGGGGAGGAGAACTCAAATGCAGGGGGGTAAGGGAGGGGAGGAGAACTCAAATGCAGAGGGGGAAGGGAGGGGAGGAGAACTCAAATGCAGGGGGGTAAGGGAGGGGAGGAGAACTCAAATGCAGGGGGGTAAGGGAGGGGAGGAGAACTCAAATGCAGGGGGGTAAGGGAGGGGAGGAGAACTCAAATGCAGGGGGGTAAGGGAGGGGAGGAGAACTCAAATGCAGGGGGGTAAGGGAGGGGAGGAGAACTCAAATGCAGAGGGGGAAGGGAGGGGAGGAGAACTCAAATGCAGGGGGGGAAGGGAGGGGAGGAGAACTCAAATGCAGGGGGGTAAGGGAGGGGAGGAGAACTCAAATGCAGAGGGGGAAGGGAGGGGAGGAGAACTCAAATGCAGGGGGGGAAGGGAGGGGAGGAGAACTCAAATGCAGGGGGGTAAGGGAGGGGAGGAGAACTCAAATGCAGGGGGGTAAGGGAGGGGAGGAGAACTCAAATGCAGGGGGGTAAGGGAGGGGAGGAGAACTCAAATGCAGGGGGGTAAGGGAGGGGAGGAGAACTCAAATGCAGGGGGGGAAGGGAGGGGAGGAGAACTCAAATGCAGAGGGGGAAGGGAGGGGAGGAGAACTCAAATGCAGGGGGGTAAGGGAGGGGAGGAGAACTCAAATGCAGGGGGGTAAGGGAGGGGAGGAGAACTCAAATGCAGGGGGGTAAGGGAGGGGAGGAGAACTCAAATGCAGGGGGGTAAGGGAGGGGAGGAGAACTCAAATGCAGGGGGGTAAGGGAGGGGAGGAGAACTCAAATGCAGGGGGGTAAGGGAGGGGAGGAGAACTCAAATGCAGGGGGGTAAGGGAGGGGAGGAGAACTCAAATGCAGGGGGGGAAGGGAGGGGAGGAGAACTCAAATGCAGAGGGGGAAGGGAGGGGAGGAGAACTCAAATGCAGGGGGGGAAGGGAGGGGAGGAGAACTCAAATGCAGGGGGGTAAGGGAGGGGAGGAGAACTCAAATGCAGGGGGGTAAGGGAGGGGAGGAGAACTCAAATGCAGGGGGGTAAGGGAGGGGAGGAGAACTCAAATGCAGGGGGGTAAGGGAGGGGAGGAGAACTCAAATGCAGGGGGGGAAGGGAGGGGAGGAGAACTCAAATGCAGAGGGGGAAGGGAGGGGAGGAGAACTCAAATGCAGAGGGGGAAGGGAGGGGAGGAGAACTCAAATGCAGGGGGGTAAGGGAGGGGAGGAGAACTCAAATGCAGGGGGGTAAGGGAGGGGAGAAGAACTCAAATGCAGGGGGGTAAGGGAGGGGAGGAGAACTCAAATGCAGGGGGGTAAGGGAGGGGAGGAGAACTCAAATGCAGGGGGGGAAGGGAGGGGAGGAGAACTCAAATGCAGAGGGGGAAGGGAGGGGAGGAGAACTCAAATGCAGAGGGGGAAGGGAGGGGAGGAGAACTCAAATGCAGGGGGGTAAGGGAGGGGAGGAGAACTCAAATGCAGGGGGGTAAGGGAGGGGAGGAGAACTCAAATGCAGGGGGGTAAGGGAGGGGAGGAGAACTCAAATGCAGGGGGGTAAGGGAGGGGAGGAGAACTCAAATGCAGGGGGGTAAGGGAGGGGAGGAGAACTCAAATGCAGGGGGGTAAGGGAGGGGAGGAGAACTCAAATGCAGGGGGGTAAGGGAGGGGAGGAGAACTCAAATGCAGGGGGGTAAGGGAGGGGAGGAGAACTCAAATGCAGGGGGGTAAGGGAGGGGAGGAGAACTCAAATGCAGGGGGGTAAGGGAGGGGAGGAGAACTCAAATGCAGGGGGGTAAGGGAGGGGAGGAGAACTCAAATGCAGGGGGGTAAGGGAGGGGAGGAGAACTCAAATGCAGGGGGGTAAGAGACGCATTGCGACCAATCAGAGAAGCCAAGAAGGATTGACTGAAGAGGAGGAGGTTCAAAATGTGAGAGGCGGGGGAGGAGCACAGTAGGTGGAAGAGGTAGCGGTGGTAGGGAGAATGGGAAAAAGAGGGCATTCGGTAGTTGGGGAAAAAGAGGGGATTCGATCATTCGATAAGTAGAGAAACGAGGTTTGGTACTGACCAGGAGTAGAACTGGTAGTGCAGGCTGCGAGCACAGAAGATTCCAATGAAGTTACCAACGAGCATCAGGTATGTGATGTCTGCAGCAGGACGGGGACCAGGCTTGGGCTTTAATAGATGAATGAGGATGCATCGAGCGAGATGGCAGTGCAACAATGAAACTACCAATGAACATCAGGTAGGTAGGTGGTGTCTGCAGCACAGTGGAGGAAGTTCAGGTTTGAATAGATGAAGGATGCATTGATAGAAATGCCAGTGCAACAATGATCAGCAATGAAACCCACCCGGGGCTTTAAGGGTTATGGACCCTCTCGGGGCTTAGGGTTTCTTATCGACTCAGTAGAAAAGGAGAAACCAATTTGATTGCAGAAGTCGGAGAGCTTTTAAGAGATTGGGTATTAACTTCACCATAATCACTATACGCTGGGTTCTACAACAAGGTTTTGGGGTTGATATCAGTGTGAGGTGAGTGCATTGGTCTAGAGGAAGGGGCACCAAAACAGGATACGGATGCCATCGTGATGTGACAACACCAAGCCATGATGATGAGCGGTCATGATGGGATGATAACGTACGGTCAGGATGCAACGGGCGGGTCTGCAGTCGTTTGAAAGGGGAGAGCAGAGCAGCGATGGCCACTCGAAACATGCCACCCTCATACCTGGTGGGAGAGAGAGTGGGAGATGAGGGGGGATGGGGCAAAGGGATAAGAGTATACATGGTAGATGGCTCTCGGGATATCTCATGAGTAAAGGAAATGAGATACGTGGTAACTGTAAAGGACAGAGCAGCGCACATGGCGACTTTAAACACGCTGCCCTTGTACCTGGCGGGAGGGAGCGGGAGATGAGTGGGAATGGATGGAAAGGGATGGAGAGGGAGATGAGGGGTTATGATGTAAGAGGGATGGAAGGGCCGCATCAGTGTGGCATTTTACCAGCAGCAACAGGATCAACGGCAGAAGAAGCAGAAAAATCAGTAAGATCAGAATGCTCTTTACCAAGTCGCACTAAGTCCTCCTTAACTGAGCCTACTTGCACCAGGCGGTAGTGACAGACGAACAGCAGCTGCACTATGCTCCAAACCCATTGGACAAAGTCACGATTACAAAACTACTCATTCTAGACTAACTTGTACAAACCTCACTCGAACTCAACTCACTTGCACTAGCAGTAATGGCAGAAGAGCAGCAGCAGCAGCAGCAGCAGCAGCAGCAGCAGCAGGTGCAGTAGCAGGTCCCCCCCATGCTAAATGCACTGGACAAACTCACCCACTTGTACAAAAAACATTGAAATAAGACTCACCTGCACCAGCAGAAGTGGCAGAAGAGCAGCAACAGGTGAGAGAAACATGCATTCTGTTCTGTTTCCACATGCATTGCAAAAGTTACTTGAGAGAAACGCACTCGAACACCACTCACTTGCACCAGCAGAAGTGGCAGAAGAGCAGCAGCAGCAGCAGGTGCAGCCCCAAGAGAGAAAGAGCAAAAGGCTTGGACACAAATGTTGACTTGGGGACAAACTTAAAGTTGACAGACCTGATGAGAAGAGGAGGGAAGAGAGGGCAACAGAAAGGACGGAGATGAAGGAGTAGGGCAAGCAAGAGGGGTTGAGCAAAGGGCTTCGACACAATGATTGACCCGGGGACGAACTTGAAGTTGATAGACCTGAACGGAGAGAGGGGAGTGGGCAGGAGAGGGCAAGCGCGAGGGATTGAATGAAGGGTTTAGACACAAGTTGAGTGAGGGTCGAAGTTAAATTTGACAGATCCGATGTGAAAGCGTGAAGCGAGTGGACAACGACTCGTCCAAGGTGAAAAGTAGAGGAAAGAAGGGATAGCAGAAGCACGATACGGCTGTTATTCCGATCACTCTCCAAACACAAGTATCACTTAGAACCTCAGACCAGGGCATCACCAGAAGTGGATGAAGACTCGTCCAAGGTCGAATGCCCGGCCAAAGTAGGCCTGAGGGAAGGTGCTGATGAACGGCCAGCCAACCAGGAGCTGCCACGTGGCAAGTGAATGGGCATGCATGGTGCGATGGAGATGGAACAGCACAAAGAAATCATTTGCAGTTAAGAGAAATAGCTGGAACGATTTTTCAGCCAACTGATTTGTTTGTGTTGAAATTTAAGAGAAATAGCTGGAACGATTTTTCAGGACCAAAAAGAGATGGCTGGAAACTGACATAGCGAGTTCGAGCAATGCATTCTTGAAAATTTCTTTCTTTCATTTTTGCCGGACAATGTCAAACACTGAACTCCTAAAGCTAAACCCCTTACCCCTCAACGCTAACCTCAAAGCCCCGAGGAAGAAGAACCCTAGACATTACAGAGATGAGAGGGACAAGTTATGAGACGTCTCAACACCAAACTGTTCAAGCTGACATCAAAACCCAGAGGACGAGCCCTGGGTGAGGTTTTGAGGTCAATTTGAGATAGCAGCCTGTGTACGTGAAAGAACGTGGAGGAGAGAAGAGCGTACCTGAAAGGCGACTGCTGCACCAAGGAGAGCCATTATTTGAAGCAGGGGAAGGGTCTGGTGTGTGTGGTTGGACGTGAGAGGAGAACGTGTGGTTGGACGTGAGAGGAGAACGTGTGGTTGGACGTGAGAGGAGAACGTGTGGTTGGACGTGAGAGGAGAACGAAAATGAGGGCAGGATTGAAGCGACAGAAGGGAGAGCGTGCGAAGGGGCTGTTGTTATGACAAGAGAAAAGGAGAATCGGGGAAAGGTGGATTGAAAAGGAGGAGATACGAGGAGAGGAGTAGATTGGGGATGCAAAATGGCAGGAGACATGGAAGAAAAGTGAGCAGGGTAGGAAGTAGGGTTTTTGGGATAGAAAGACATTGGAAATGGAAGGAACCATAGCCGAGGTCCAAGCATAGCCCAAAATTATATGAGAGGTAGAGGGGCATGACAAAGATAATCGTTCATGGGTTGAGAAAGGCGGCAGGATGGAGTGGGATGGGAGTGAGATGGAGAGGGGTGCGAGTGAGAGAGAGAGGGAAACCTTTGCCATGATGAGAAGCAGAGGAGGGAGGAAGAGCAGGACGTTCATCTTGACTGAAACGCCTGCACTGCACACATGCACATGAACGTAAGCGTGTGGAGGGATGGAGGGAGGGAGAGAGGGAGTGAGGGAGGATTGAATGTGGAGAGAAGAAGTAGAGTGGGAAGAGGATCACGTTGATCTTGACTGACACGCCTGCACTGCACACATGCGCATGGAGGGAGGAAGGGAGGGAATGGGGATGGAGTGAGGATTGAAAGGGGAAAGAGAAACAGAGAAAAGAGGATCACGTTTATATTGACTGACACGCCTGCACTGCACACATGCACATGGACAGTCGTGTCGAGGGACGAATACATGCATGTGGACGGACGTAGCCGTTTGGAGGAAGGGAGGGAGAGAGGGAGGGAGGTTTACAAAGGAAAAGAAGAAGCAGAGGAGGAATAGCCGTTTGAAGCACGTTCAATTTGACTGAGCTCGCACGCATGCCCGCCCGCACACTCACACACAGGCATGCACGCATGAGAGAACCAAGAGTCTGGCCTAGATATTCACTATTGACCTGAAGAGGAGCAGTGCCAAGATCCATCGGGATGACTGCAGTCTGAGGGGGGAGGCGTGAAGGAAGGCCATGGCGAGGCAGTCAACCAAGAGCCTGGCCTAGAGATTTGCTTGCAGTCTGTACAGTGAGAGGTCCAGATGGTTTTTAGTGACCTGAAAGATGAGCACTGCCGGGATCCATCTGGACGACTGCAGTTGGAGCAGGGAGGCGTGATTCAGGGAGGCGTGATTCAGGGAGGCGTGATTCAGGGAGGCGTGATTCAGGGAGGCGTGATTCGTGGAGGCGTGATTCGTGGAGGAAGGCCATGGTGAGGCAGTCGTTGAAAAGTCTAGCTGCAGTCATTAATGTGACAAGTCTAGATGGTTCTTACTGACCTGAATAGAAGCAGTGCTGGGTTCTGGATGACTGCAGTCTGAGGAGCGAGGCGTGAAGGAAGGCCATGGCGATAGTGGTTGAAGAAACAGAATTCACTTTTGACGATCCAAAGATAGATGATTTCTACTGACCTGAAGAGGAGCACTGCGGGGATCCATCTAGAGGATTGGAGTCTGAGGAGCGAGGCATGCAGGAATGCCATGGCGAGGCAGTTATTGATGAGCCTACACAAGGCAACGTCTGCTGACCTGAATAGGAGGACTGCCGGGATCCATCTAGACGATTGCAGTCTGAGGAGCGAGGCGTGCAGGAATGCCATGGCGAGGCAGTCATTGAAGAGGCGAAGCAGGAAGATGGAGTGTAGACGCTTGGAGAGACACAGCAGCACGAGCACCCAGGGGGGCACCTGATATAGAAAAGAGATGACAGATTGGGCAGGTGTGGGGAATGAGGGAATCAGGGGCGAGAGGTGCAGCGGGAAGATGAAGAGCAGACGATTGGAGAGACACAGCAGCACGAGCGCCCAGGGGGGCACCTGATATAGAAAAGAGATGACAGATTGGGCAGGTGTGGGGAATGAGGGAATCAGGGGCGAGAGGTGCAGCGGGAAGATGAAGAGCAGACGCTTGGAGAGACACAGCAGCACGAGCGCCCAGGGGGGCACCTGATATAGAAAAGAGATGACAGATTGGGCAGGTGTGGGGAATGAGGGAATCAGGGGCGAGAGGTGCAGCGGGAAGATGAAGAGCAGACGCTTGGAGAGACACAGCAGCACGAGCGCCCAGGGGGGCACCTGGTGGAGGGGGACGAATGGATGAAGTGTGCAGAATGAGGGTATCAAAGCGGAGAGTCGGGCAGGAAGATGACGGGCAGACGCTTGGAGAGACACAGCAGCACGAGCGCCCAGGGGGGCACCTGACGAGGGGGGCCAGGGAAGATGTGGGTTGGTGGGGGCAGGGAGGAGAAGAAAACATGAAGATGGGTGCAGCAGACCAGCACATGCCGTGGAACCAGCAAAAGCACCCACCAGTGACCGCCTTGTTCTCAATGATTACTCCTCGCAACCTCTGGCTGCGAACACTTTTGAGACGTCTCAAAAGTCATTGTTCTCAATGATAACTTATACGCAACCTCTGGCTGCGAACACCATAAAACATATTAATGACAACAGAGGACAGGACACGAAGAGGCATGCCATGTGCTGTAGGGTTTTTTTTAGAACTCTCAAAAAAATCCTGCAGCAGCACGAAGAGGCGTGCCATGTGAGTCAAGTCAACTATAGAGTAGATGTAGCATGCCATGTGGCATGCCATGTGAGTCAACTATAGAGTCACGTCGACACAGCACAACATGTGCATCGCTGCTTCTTACCGCCTGTGTGCGAATGTAGATGGCGAAGACCATGAGGAGGTTGATGAGATAGAGAACAAGACGAGGTGCCCGTTGGGTCCACTATAGAATAGAGTCACCTTGTCACCACATTCTCTGAATTGGTTCTTACCGCCTGTGTGCGGATGTAGATGGCGAAGACCATGAGGAGGTTGATGAGATAGAGGACGAGGAAGGCCACCTGCGATGGAGGCGAGGACGGAGCGAGAAGAGAGCAAGGAGAGACGGAGGAGAGAGAGAGGCAGGGGTTGTGGTAGAAAACAAAACAAAATCAGAAAATGGAGACTACGAGAGGGCTGAGGAGACATAGGAGGGTTAGGCAGGAGAGATGGAGAAGAAAAAGTGGAGACTGTGAGAAAGGCTGAGGAAACATAGGAAGAGACGGGAGCCTAAACCCATGTGCAGTTCCAGGAGCCTACCTGAGCTTCCTGGAGCCTGCCTGCACTTTCAGGGACCTAAATGAGCTTCCACGAACCTTCCTCACCTTCCAGGAACCTACCTGAGCGTTTGGCACGATTTCCCCCGTGATCCATTTGAGAGCAGAGAAGGAGAGGAGGAACTTGGCAGGGTAGACAAAGAGGGCCTTGCCAGATAGGTTCCTGGCAAGAGGGCGTCTTCCTGGAGCTTCCTGGAATCTTTCTGGCCTTGCCAGCCAGGAACCCACCTGATCGTTTGCAACAACCCCTCCTGTGATCTATATGAGGGTAGAGGAAGGGAGGTGGGAGCCAGCAGGGTAGTCGAGAGGGCCTGTGTCTTTCCCAAGCGCCCCAGAGTGATCCCCCACCCTTGTGCCCCTGAGTTTCTAAGAACCCACCTGAGCGTTTGCAACGATTCCCCCGGTGATCCATTTGAGGGCGGAGAAGGAGAGGAGGAACCCTGCAGGGTAGACGAGGGGGCCCGTGTCTTCCTCCAGCTTCCAGGGACCGACGCGAGCTTTCAGGAAATTACCTGAGCGTTGGCAACAACCCCCCCCGTGATCCATTTGAGGGCGGAGAAGGAGAGGAGGAACCCGGCAGGGTAGACGAGGGGGCCCGTGTCGCCCTCCAGCTTGGTGTAGTCGCGCTCCCCGTGCTGGAAGCCCGTGACCTGCGCCATGTATGCGTCCCAGTCTATCTTGGTGTCTGGAAGGTGGGGCAAGCAGGGGGGGTGGATGGAAGAAGCGTATTCCTTAGGCGCTTCAAACATCAAACGGGGCCTTCCCGTGTCGCCCTCCAGCTTGGCGTAATCGCGCTCGCCGTGCTGGAAGCCCGTGGCTTGCGCCATGTACGCATCCCAGTCTATCATGGTGTCTGGTGGGTGGAACAAATGAGATGGGTGACGCAAGCGGGATGGATGGAAGAAGAGGGATGGGTCCCGCAAGCCGGATGGATGGAAGAACCGTTGTTCGGAAGACGACACTGACGGCGGCGGAGCGACAATGGCGGGCGAGTGGCAATGGCGAGACGCACAGGGGACTTTGGCGATGATCGCGGAGCAAAGCACCGCCTCTGCGATCAGAAGCAGCCGTGCGACGACCCACGCCGCCTTGGTGTCGCGCGGGTCGCACACGCGACGGGCCCACACCGCAATGGTTGCCTTCAGCGTCATCGCTCCGCCCTGTGCGACAACGCGAGTCGCAGCGGAATTTCTATTCGCAGAAGTATCCGTGGCGTGTGGTTGAGCGATATGTAAGACGATTCTGCAGTTTCAAGCCGACGAATGGCGACTGTTGGTTTTCGTAGAATTAAGAAGGCAATCTGAGCGTGTTTCTGGCAAGGATGATTGAGAATCTAGTGATCAACCGTATAGAGGGAAGTTCTGCTAGCTAAGTCGACGCAGTCAAATGCCACTATGTGAAAGTGATGCGCTAGGTGGGTGCTGCTGTGGTGCGGGCAGAGGGGACCGTTGAGGATTCCGATCGCGATTCGTTTCTGCTGCTTGCTTGCTGTGTCTGGAGCTGGAAGCTCAAATAGGTTCATGGATTCCGCTACAATACATTCCGATATAAGGGAATGATGTCTTGAGGAAAATACAGTGTTACTGAGGAAAGCATAATCGCAAATCTCATGTCCGTACATCTCGAGGTTGGTTGGGCCAGACATTTGTTCAGAGCGCGATGCCATGGCAAGCAGGGAATGGGTCCTCATGAACTCCCTATTTCCACACTAGCAGTGATGGTTGCGGATGCAGGTGATCGCATTTACCTCGCACGGTTTTGGGTGTACTCCTGGTAACTCTCCGCGCTAACAGCGCGTGCACGTCGCACCTCGGAAAGAAGTGCGCGTCGCGCGTCGCGGCAAGCAGTCCCTAGCTTCAGACAGCCGTGTCTGCTTGTTGAGACTTCCTTCAACCAAGTCTTCCGTTGTTTTCGGGATCCCTCGCAAGAACCTGGAAGGCTCGCGGTCTTAGCCGCAGCCGTGCGTGTCTTAGCGTCCCTCCCACCGATAGATCGTTAGTATCATTCAAGTCATTTCTCGCCGCTATTGGTTCTACACTGCTATTACAGCTACATCGCTAAAATTCGAAATAATGGATCTCACAGTCTCTCTCATCCCCGACCGCTCCTGCTGGGTGCGCCTCCCCCTCCACTTCCTCCACTCCCTCACTCTCTCCTCCTCCTCCGACGAACCCCCTCCCGCCCCTCTCCTCCTCGACCTTCGCCGAACCTCCCCTCCTCCCTCCTCCCAACCGTCGTCTCACGCATCTTCCCACGCCTCTTCCCAAGCCTCTTCCCGAGCCTCTTCATCCCGAGCCTCGGCCAAGCCGCTCTTCTTGGCTTGGGGCGGAGCCGCGGCAGCAGGTTCGGCGCTGGAGGTTCCGCGGGAGTTGGGAGAGTGTCTGGGGCTGGCGGAGGGGGAGGGGGTGCGCGTACGGGTGCGCCTGTGGGGGAGCATTCCGCCCGCGGAGGCTGTCCACGTGGCACCTGCCACGTCAGACGACTGGGAGGTGCTGGAGCTGAATCCGGCGCTTTTGGAGGAGACCATTCTGCAGCAGGTGGGTTCCGGGGAGGTGGGTTGCGGGGACAGTGGGATTTGAGGAAGTGAGATTTGAGGGAGGGGGGATTTGGAGGAAGTGAGATTTGAGGGAGGGGGGATTTGGAGGAAGTGAGGTTTGAGGCCCCATTCTGCAGCAGGTAGGTTCGGGGGAAGGTGGGTTTCAAGGGAGACTATTTCCGCTTGATCCAGCTGGGGGCAGGGGCGCAGGTGCGCAGTTCTTTTCCCCAATGGACGCACAAGACTCCCCCAGATCCCCCCCATAATTTCCCCCCATTCGTGCTTCCCCCCCTCCTTAACTTTTTCCCCTGCTGCGCTCAGGTGGGCGCGGTTGCAGCAGGGCAGTCCTTCCCCATATGGGCGCAGGGGCAAGCGCCCTTGCGCCTGTGCGCCCTCTCTGCGTCCCCCTCCCCCTTGGTGCGCCTTGTGCCCGGATCCGAGGTCATTGTTGCCCCCCGCACTAGGGGGAGCGCGGTGGAGGGCGCGGAGGGGGAGGGGGAAGGCGCAGGAGAGACACTGATAGGTGGGGCAGGGGGAGCGGGAGGGGGAGGGGGAGAGGAGAAGGGAAAGAAGGGGAAAGATGGGAAGGGAAGAGGTGGAAGGGAGAGGAAGGTGCGAGTGTGGTTGCGTGTACAGCCCTTTGATTGGTCCGTCGTTTCAGGCCAATCACACGACAGCTCTAGTGACGATCTGACACTTTGTGATACACGTGGCTTGTGTAGCAGCAGCAACAAGGGGGGCGCAGCAACAGATAGCAGCAGAGGAGGAGGGGGAGGGAGTGGAGATGGGTTGGTGGTGGTGGAGCCAGCAGGGTGTGTGTTTGTGAGCGAGGCTGACTGGAAGCGAGTGGGAGGGGGAGGGACACAGCTGCAGCACGTGCCTTGTTCTGTAAAGCCCTCGCATGCAGCACAGGAGGGCAGTCACGAGAGTGAGAGCAAAGATGGGAGTGCGGGTGAAAGTGTGAGCGGGAGCGTGAGTGTTCACAGCACAACAGCACGTCCCCCTCTCCTCCTCCTTCTCCACGTGCCAGCATCAGCCCGCCGCCCAAAACCCACCAATCAGGGCTCAGCTTCCAGCCGCTCCAGCCAATCACAGCGCTTCTCCTCGCGCACCTCCGTCCCTGTGCGGGTGCTGCCCTCCTGCCACGTGGCAGCAGGCCATTTGATGATACCTCCGGCCCTTTCCCTGTGCCTGGCAGTAGACTGGTTCTCAAAGGTGCTCCTCAAAGGGACTGTAGGCGCTTGGGGTGGTGGAGAGGGGTGGAACGCGGTTGGGGCTGGTGATGATGGGTGGAATGCGGTTGGGGGTGGTGGAGTGGAGACCCGGAACGGTGGAGGGGAGGGAGTGAGTGGGGGAAGAAGCAGAGGGAGTGCAGGGAAAGGGAGTGTGAGGGAACCCTCTCACACATCTCCTCCCTCCACTGTCTCCTCCTGCCTCCTCATCCCCCCTCCCCCCTCTCTCTTCCTCACCCCTCTGGTGCTCTCTGGTGCTGCGTCAGTGGGGGGTGCGGGGTCAAGGGGAGGATCCCGGGGAGCAGGCGCAGGAGGGGGAGCGGGAGGGGGAGGGAGTGTTATTGGTGATTTTTATCCAGGGAACGAGCAGCAGCAGATTCAGCAGCTGGATCGGCAGCAGCAGGCGCGGTTAGGAGCGGTTGGAGTGGGTGCTGCTGTTGAAGCAGCAGAAAGGCATTGGAAGAGAGTAGCTGGGTGGAAGGGAAGAGAGGTGGGACAGACTGGAGAGAGAGAGACGGGCACTGGAATGGGGGAGCGAGAGAGAAGGGAGCGAGAGGCGGAGGAGGGGACGGAGTCACGAGGGCGTTCTGAGGCGTCTCAAGAAAAGAAGGATCCAGGGGTGAGGGCGCTGGCGTGTGTGTTGCTGCAAGGAGGGTTGGGTCAAGCAAAGTGGGGAGTGGGGCAAGCAAGGGGAGAGATGGGAGTGCCTCTGGTAGATGGTGCAGTGCTGAGACTGGTGTGGTGGGATGGAGTCAATTGGGGCGGAGTGGATGGGGATGGGTCTGCTGCAGAGGGAGGTGAGAGGGAGGGTGAGAGGGTGGAAGGTAGAGTGGATTGTGAGGCGCCAGAAACAGCAGCGACGGCACCATTACCAGCAAGAGCAGCAAGAGCAGCAGCAGGAGCAGCAGCAGGAGCAGCAGCAGGAGCAGCAGCAGGAGCAGCAGGAGCAGCAGCAGGAGCAGCAGCAGGAGCAGCAGCAGCAGGAGCAGCAGGAGCAGCAGGAGCAGCAGCAGGAGCAGCAGGAGCAGCAGCAGGAGCAGCAGGAGCAGCAGCAGGAGCAGCAGCAGGAGCAGCAGGAGCAGCAGCAGGAGCAGCAGGAGCAGCAAGGGACGCTCTCTTTCTTCTCACTTTTGGCTCACCACCTGGAGCACGCACTCGCTCCTCTGCTGCTGCTGCTGCTGCTGCTGCTGCTAGCGCAACTGCTTCCAATACTGGTACTGGTTTAGGTAACTCGTCATACGACACACACCGACAGCAGCAGCAGATGGGGGCCTTGACTGCTTTGGCAGGGGCAGTGTTGGGAGGAAGCATGGGGCTGGGAGGTGCGGGAGGGCGGGGGATGATGGGTGGGGGTGGAACCATGGGGCCTGGCGGCATGGCAGGAGGGATGGGCCTTGGCAGCAGCATGGCAGGAGGGATGGGCCTTGGCAGCAGCATGGCAGGAGGGATGGGCCTTGGCAGCAGCATGGCAGGAGGGATGGGCCTTGGCAGCAGCATGGCAGGAGGGATGGGGCCTGGGAGCAGCATGGCAGGAGGGATGGGCCTTGGCAGCAGCATGGCAGGAGGGATGGGCCTTGGCAGCAGCATGGCAGGAGGGATGGGCCTTGGCAGCAGCATGGCAGGAGGGATGGGCCTTGGCAGCAGCATGGCAGGAGGGATGGGGCCTGGGAGCAGCATGGCAGGAGGGATGGGGCCTGGCAGCAGCATGGCAGGAGGGATGGGGCCTGGGAGCAGCATGGGAGGAGGGATGGGGCCTGGGAGCAGCATGGGAGGAATGGGAGGAATGGGAGGAATGGGAGGAATGGGTGGAATGGGTGGATATGGGAGTGCGGCACCAGTCTCAGGCTCTATATCCCATGGGTCCACACTGGAATCTTCACATACATCTGCAGATGGACCTTCTTCTGAAGCTTCCAAGACGCTTCCTGCCGTCCGGGCGGCTGCCAGCGAGGCGGTCGACAGCCTGGCGCTGCTGACTGCCGTCCAATCGGAGCGCAGCACTGTCGCACTGGGAGCTCCCATGGAGTGGGCTGTCCCCTTTACAAGCAGCCCCGGACTCGTTTATAGCCCGGTGCAGGCCCAGTCAGCAGCATCGCCTCATCATAACTCAGTCATCTCTCCGGGTCACTCCTCTGATAATGTATTTCCTGTGATTTCTGCTCTACTGCCCCTGCCCGCACCCTCAGCACCACCGTTAAGCGCACCAGCACTGACATCAGTAACAACGTCATCATCAGCATCAGCAGTACCATTGAAAGCCATTACACCACCCCTTGATCACCCCTTCTCCTTCACTCTTTCCTGGCTTCACCAACCAGCCTCCACTGCCCTCTCCCGCCTCCTCGCCTCTCTCTCCCTCCCCTTCCGCCTCACCCGTCGCTCCCTCCGCCTCCCTTCCCCAGGCTCCATTCTCCTCCATGGCCCCCCTGCCAGCGGCAAAACCTCCCTAGCTTCGGCCCTCGCCTGGCAGGTTCGGAACGACCGGACCTGCCTCGCGCACACAGAGTTTGTCAGCTGCTCCAGGCTCGGGTCCGAGCCTGCGAAGGAGGTTCGGCGGGTGCTGGGGAGGGCGGTGGCGCGGGCCAATGAGAGGGCGCCAGCTGTCGTCGTGTTGGACGATCTGGATGTGCTGGTTCCGGGGGCGAGTGGGGGGCCGGAGGAAGGGACAGGTGGTGGCGCGGGATTAGTGGAGTTTATTGCTGACCTGATGGATGAATGCCAGGTGAGCAGCATGGTGACATGGCATGTGTAAGGTGCGCATTTGATAGGGAATATACACGAATGCAAGATCAGCAGCCATGCCTTTCACTCTCACATCTCTGTCCCCTCTCGCCGCCGTCCTCAACCCACTTCACCTCCCTTCACCTCCCTTCACCTCACTTTTCCTTACATATCCTCTCTTCTCCTCACTTCACCTCACTTCACCGCACTTCACCTCACCTCACCTCTGTCGCCCCCCTCCCTGTCCGTCCTCTTCCCTCCTTTTCTCCCCTTACTTCTCTCCCAGGCCCACCAGTCCCCTATAGCCTTCCTAGCAACAGCCCCCTCGCCATCCGCCATAGCGCCATCTCTCCGTGCTGCATGCCGCTTTGACACCCCTGTGGAGCTACCCGCCATGGGGGAGGGCGAGAGGGCAGCACTGCTCAGACGGATCCTTCTGGAGAGGGGGATTGGGTGGCAGGGAGGGGATGCTCTGCTCCAATCGGTGGCCGCCAGGTGTCAGGGCTGTGACGCGTCGGATCTTGAGGTGCTGGTCGATCGTGCGGCTCACGCGAGGCGAGGGCATGTGATGTTCGAATCAGGGAGAAGGGGAAATGGTGGGGGTGCGGGTGGGGGTGGGGATGGGTTTGGGGAAGGTGAGAGTGAGGGCGGAGGGGGAGGAGAGAAGAAAGGGGGAGGAGTTAGCAGAGGCAGAGTGGCCATGATGGTGCCTGGAACGGGCAGAGGAGAGCAGCGGCCGCCACAGGAGCAGGTGGAGCAGGAGCAGCAGGAGCAACAAGAGCAGTCGATACAGCAGGGGCAACACAGGGAGAAGATGCAGCAGGAGGTGCAAGAGCAGTCAATACAGCAAGTACACCAGCAGCAACACGCGCTCCTTCTCTCCGAGCCAGACTTCTCCTCCGCCCTCCAGGGCTTCGTCCCAGCAGCCGTGCGCGGCGTCGCCAAGCTCTCCGCCTCCTCCGACCCCTCCTCCTCTTCATCCTCTTCCGCCTCCCCCCAGCTAGGCTGGGACGACGTGGGAGGAATGGCCGACGCCCAAACAGCCCTGCGAGAAGTCTTAGAGCTCCCAGCCCAGCACTCCCATATCTTTGCCTCAGCTCCTCTCCGCCTTCGCACTGGCGTGCTCCTTTTCGGCCCTCCCGGGTGTGGGAAAACGCACATTGTCGGCGCTGCTGCTGCTGCGTGTGGGATTCGGTGTGTCTCGGTGAAAGGCCCGGAGCTGCTGAATAAGTACATCGGAGCTTCGGAGCAGGCGGTTCGGGACGTGTTCTCCCGAGCCTCCCGCGCCGCTCCGTGCATTCTGTTTTTCGACGAGTTTGACGCGATTGCGCCGCGAAGAGGGCATGATAGCACGGGGGTGACTGACAGAGTAGTGAATCAGCTATTAACGGAGCTAGATGGTGTGGAGGGGTTAGAAGGGGTTTTTGTGGTGGCCGCTACGAGCCGTCCAGATCTGATCGATCCGGCTCTGCTGCGTCCTGGACGGTTGGATCGGCTCGTGCTCTGCGATTTTCCCGGGGAGGAGGACCGGCTGGCGATTCTCCGCGCGCTTTCCAGGACGCTTCCTCTGAGTGCTGACGTGGACCTTGCTGAGCTGGCGCGACGCACGGAGGGGTTCAGCGGCGCAGATCTGCAGGCCTTGCTGGCAGATGCACAGCTGGCGGCGGTGCATGCTGTGCTGGATGAGAGTGAGCGGGGGGGAGGAAGGGAGAGTGGGAAAGGGGGAGGAGAGGAGGTTGAGAAGAGGGGAGGAGGGGAGAGTGAGAAGGGAGGAGGAGAGGAGGAGGCAGCTGGGGAGGGGAAGAGAAGTGGAGATGGAGGGGAAGATAAGACAGAGGTGGAAGGGGGAGCAGGGAGGCAGGCAGTGGAGGGTAGAGGTTCCGAGGACCAGAAGAAGCACCGGAGAGCGAAGACAGGATCGGCGAGGAAGGGCAGAACGGGGAAGAAAGCGGAGGGAGTGGAGGCAGGGAGGCCAGTACTGGGGTGGGTGCATCTGCAGCAGGCGGTGGGCAGCGTGCGGCCGTCCGTGTCAGCAGCAGAGAGGCAGCGGCTGTCGGATATCTACGATGAGATGATGGGGGCGCGGAAGGGGAGCAGTGCTGCTGCGATGGCGGAGAGGAAAGGGAAGCGGGCCACCTTGGCCTGAATCAGTGAGCCATCAGTGTGGCTCTGCCATGAGTGTGACTGGCTTTAATGTGGAGGAGAGGCAGTTGGCGATATACGCTGCAAGATGATGGGGGCGAGGAAGGGGGGCTGTGCTGCTGCTACGGCGGAGACGCCAGGGAAGTGGGCCACATTAGCTTATGAACTAGGATGGTGTGGCTGTTACAGGGGCCATTTTTGAGTCACCTCAGCAGTATGTAATTGGGGTCAGGGTTGAGGAAGATGGGGAGTGCTGCTGACATGGTGGAGAGGAAAGGAAAACGAACCACATTGGCTTGGGAGCTAGCTACCCCATTGGAATGTCAGGAGGGTAGCAGATGCAATGCCTTGGTTAACCTTGACAAATGTGGGCACATCCCACAAGAATGTTCTAACAAATTACTGACTATCATTGTAGACTTCTTACTCCAATTTCCGTGTTCCTGCTTACAGAACTGTGTAAAAGAAACATAAAGTCCTAAAAAATAGCCAGCAGTCATACATAACCATGTTTCTTTAACATTTTTTCAGAAGTGCACAACTTAGAATGCAATAGCAGGGCCATACTGAAGTTTGGAGCACTTAGTATGAACAATGGATGCGCCAGCTTCATCATACTCCGTCTTGGTAATCCACACCTGAGTCACCGCAAGGTGTGTCAGCTCCGAGAACCAAGAAATGCAAAAAAGCAACAGAAAAATGCAGAGAAGGCATACCTGCTGGAAGGCGCTCTGCGACGCATACTTGGATCCACCATGCCAAGCACTGTTGTGCTGATCAACTGGCTCACTCAACCTGACCCTCATGGTGATGGGAGCAAGCCCTTTGACTTCCTTTTCCACGCGATCAGCAAAACCAGAGAACATAGTGGTACCACCGCTGAGAACAATGTTAGAGTACAGTTCCCCCCCTGATATTCTCGTCACACTTCATGATGGAGTTGTTGCACATCTCATGGATACCCAAGTCTTCACTGCCAGCCATCCCTGGGTTGAAGAGCGATTCTGGACACTTAAATCGCTCAGAATTAAGGGAAATAATCTTGCCATCAGGAAGCTCATACCCCTTCACCAATTCCTCTGAGTTCGTCGCCTCATACATCTCCTTCTCAAAGTCCAAAGCAACATAGGCGAGCTTCTCCTTGATGTCCCTCACAACTTCCAGCTTGGCAGCTGTGGTAAAGTCGTGAATCCCCTCCAAGAGGAAAGCCATGTTCTCAGTCAGAGCACGACCAGCAAGATTCGAACTGAGAATCGCGTGCAGCAGAGCCTCGCCCTCATAGATGGGGACAATGTGGGTCGCACCATAGCCGGAGTCCAGAACAGTACCTTAAACCAAAGAAGAAGATTAGTAGCATCAGAAACACATCGCAAATGCGAGGGCGCGGAGAATAGCCGAAACTTACCAGTGGTACGACCGCTGCCGTACAAGGAGAGCACGGAATGAATGGCGACATACATTGCCGGCACGTTGAAAGTCTCAAACATAATCTGCGTCATCTGCTCGCGATTTTCCTTGGGATTCTGAGGAGCTTCAGTCAAAAGCACCGGATGCTCCTCTGGAGTGACACGAAGCTCGTTGTAAATGTGGTGCCAAATCTTTCCCATGTCGTCCCAGTCCGTTACAATGCCTGGAAAGTCAAAATGCACATAGGTCAGATTACTACCTTTTTCGCTGACGGTCATAAAGCGAGAAGAACGAATTTTTGTGCGTATCAGAGGAGAATTTTTGTGAGTATCAGAGGATATTAGTCATCTCACCTCGCTCAATAGGATACTTCAGCGTCAAAGTGTCACGTTTTGACAGGGCTTCATCACCAATGTAAGCAACATTCTCGTCAGGAGAACGACCAACAACGCTGGGAACCACTACACGTGGCCTATCATCTCCAGCGAATCCGCCCTGGAAAATAAAGCTCGCAGTTCATCATGATGGGATGAAATCCACGAGCGTGATAAATGGACTATGCCAATCCTACTACTGACCTTCACCATGCTGGATCCGTTGTCGAACACAAGAGTCTGAATGTCGCCCATTTGAACAAATTTCCTGTGGAAGCATTAACCGAAAAGAATGGAACTTTTTTTGATAGAAGTATGCCTATAGGCATGAAACCACTGAAATGCTTTGGAGTGATGTACTTGACTGATAATGACCAGCAGAAGTAGATCGCCAATAACGACCACGCTCACCCGTCTGCTGGTTGGGGATGACTTGCTGCGAGCACCGAAGGCAAATGAAAAGAGCAACAAATTCGCTTCAGCACCAACCTTCAGCAACCACACCATAACCTTTTCCTGCACTTCGACCCACAGCACGAATTTGCTTCAGTCCAACTGAGATCCGTACGGCCCGTGCCGCGGATCCGCGGGTAATGCGATTTTTTTTTTGTTTCGAGGAATTCGGCGGTTCTCAACGTCGTCCGACCCGAAGAAACATGCTGCAGATACTGTAGTACATTCTCAGTACGTGAAGTGTTCTGCGCCTCCTCAGACAACCACCCGTGTTGTCCTAAAACGTTGTCTGTTGACGGGAATGTGCCATCCTGACCCTGTCTGTTGATGGGAATGTGAGATACTGTACAAAAAAACGTTCATCTTGACTGCTGACGGGAATGTGAGGTCAACAACCAAGACATCCCTAGCTTCTATGGAACAGAGCGACGTCCATCCGTCATCCGACATATGCTGGAGAGGAACCTGAAAGATCTCCACCTAGCTGGGCGTGTCCGAGATAGGTGTATTCCTGACACGAATAAGGACGCGGTGCAGTTTGTCCCTGATCGTGCAGCAATACTGCGTCAAATCGGATTGGATAGGTTCGGATAAGAGGCGACCCGACATTTTATACGAGTCCCTTTCGCGGTTGACTTGACGAAGAAAAGTAGGCTGCCAACCCATTACAGAGTAGCTCGGACCCTAGCGTCACGAAAATTCTATTGTCATGAAGCGATTTCTTTTGCTCTGTGTGTTACATTTCGTAGGCGTCGTTGGGGGTCCCGATCTCTCCCAATCAACAAGTCGCAATCAATCGCAATCAGTTCCGTCTAATAGTAATGGGGCCTCAAAAACCAAACGTGGCCTCCTGGAAATCGGGGATCGCATTGATCATGTCCATCATGCACGAACAGATCAACAACTGAACACTTCCTAATATCGCGCATCTATCTCGACCAAGGCTGTCCGTGGAGCAACAGGTGCGAAACAGGTCTACAACAAGTGCTGCACACCACATTGCGATCGCGCTTGCATTCGATTGCGACCAATCGCAGCAGCCGATCCGCCAATCAGAAGAATTAACCAATAGGTGGCCTGTCACCGGCGCGTGTCCAATCACATCGGGGTCGTGTTTACTGTAGAGTTCTGTACACCTGGTGCTCGTTTGAGTCCTCCATACTTGCTTTCTGGAAAGGGATTTTAAATGACTCTTGCGTTTCGCAAAGGTTTCGTCAACTCGCAGCTAGCAAAAAAGGGCTTACACCTGATGCTCGTTTGAGCCCCCCAAGGGTCCCTTACTCTCTGCGTGTATAGGTGATCCTTGCATTTCGCAAAGGTTTCGTCAATTCGCACCTAGCAAAAAGGGCTTATAAAAAAATGTAACTCGCCGTTGACCGTTTGACTTGTGAGAATAAGAACAAGGAAAATGATTGACTAGGAAATGAGTTCGGTACAAATATGCAACCCTAGGAAACTGTACCCCATACTGTCTACCCCACTACAGCCTAGAAAGACTATAGCATGAATGTTTGACACACCCCCATAGGCAAAGTGGGGGAGAACAAGGGGTCACAAGACCAGTCAAGCAAGGCAAGCTCAAGGTGGATCACAACGTCACCACACATTCCGAGCACAAGTTCAAAGGCCAAAAGGCCAGTTCACATGCAGGATTATAAATCAAGGTGAACAAGCAAGACAGTGATCGCAACCTAGCAAAGATATACAGGAAGGTGCAGGATATATAGATCACAGTACAAAGCAAAGTCAAGAGGTAAGCAAGTGAGGCCAGGTAGGCACAAGACCTAACATAGTACAGAAGCGCTGATGATCACAAGGCTGAAGTGCCTTGGTAAAGATATCAGCAGTGTTGGCCTAAGAGGCCACGTAAGCAAGGCGCAGCTGACCACGCTGCTGCAGCTCACGTGCAAGGAAGTAGCGAAGAGCAATTTGCTTCGTTCTGTGCTCCAGTCTGTGCTCACAAAGCCAGCATGGCCTTGTTGTCTACGTACATAATTGGAGGAGAACGAGGCGGCTCTCCCAGGTCGGTCAGCAGGTAGGTGAGCCAGCGTAACTCCTGTGCAGCCATGGCCCCTGCGTAAATCTCAGCCTCACAGCTAGAGCCGAGAACAGAAGACGAGCGGGTAGACCGCCACGAAACAGAGCCGGAACCAAGGCTGAAGGTGTAACCCTGTGACGACCGCTGCGTAGCCAAGTCGTCAGCCCAAGAAGCGTCTGCGTGACCAGTGAGGACCACTGAGCGTCGCCCTCCAAGCACGAGCCCCATGCCCGACGTACTGCACAAGTAGCGCAACACCCTCTTAGCAGCATCCATGTGCTCCTTCCTGTGTCGGCCAGGAGCGACATAGCGTGCTAGGATGCTAAGAGGGTATGCAAGGTCGGGTCGAGTGCAGGTCATCAGGTACATGAGGCAGCCCACAAGCTCTGGATACGGGCCACTCGGCTCTACGGACTCATCCGAAGGCAGAGCTGAGAGCGAGTGGCGCGTAGGCAGAGGAGTGGGCTGTGGCGAGGAGTACGTGAAGCGGAAGCGCTGAAGGACCTACAGCACCATGTGTGACTGAGTCAAGGTAATGGTGCGCTGTGCTCTGTCCTGGGTGATCCGCAAGCCAAGATAGCTTGTCAGCTCACCCAGGTCTGTGCACGTGTGTCTCTTCTGCAGCTCCGACTTCACGTGGGCGAGTGCCTCAGTGTCAGCAGTAGCAAAAACCAAGTCGTCTACGTACACGAGAACGTAGAACGGCGGCAGAGTGGTGTCGGTGCGTAGAAACAGCGACGGGTCAGCAGTAGAAGGAGCAAACCCAAGAGCAGCAAGAGTTGTCCTCAGTGTGTCGTGCCACTCACGGGGTGCCTGGCGGAGACCGTAGACCGGCCGCCGGAGGCTCCACTGGGTACCAGGAGGAAACGACCCAGTGAAGCCAGGTGGGCGGCGCAGCCAGATCTCCTCGTGCAGGCTGCCCTGTAGGAAAGCAGTGCTGAAGTCAAGAGAGTGGAGCTCGTAGTCACGCTGAGCGGCGACGTGCAGCAGAACCCGAAGAGTGGTCATCTTCGGGGTAGGGGAGAAGGTCTGGAAGAAGTCAACTCCCTCACGCTGACTGAAGCCTCGTGCAACGTAACGCGCCTTGAAGACAGGCGGAGAACCCGGCGGCCGCTTCACCCTGAAAATCCACATGCCACTGACGATGTTCGCCCCAGGCGGGGGAACCTCGTCGACGTAGGTGCCTGTGGACTTCCAGGAAGCCATCTCTGCGTCCATGGCTGACTGCCACTGAGAGGAGTAGGGACCCTCTATCGCCTCTGCGTAAGAGCGCGGGGTCGGGATGTCTGGTGCATCCGGGTCTCCCTCAGGGGCAATCAGCATGGACACGAGATGAGGTAAAGCAGCGGCAAAGCACTCAAACTCCTCCTGCCTGTCCTCAAGGACGTCTGTGCTAAGAGCACACTCACCCCCGACGGACGGAGGACAGACAGACTCTGACTCAGCAACAAGACTAGCGGCGTAGTCGAGACGACAGTGAGCAGCAAAGTCGACAAGCTCAGCAACTAAGGCAGACGCAGTAGTGGACTCAAAGGAAGGGTCAGTGACAACAGTAGCCAGGAGACGCGTGACAGTAGGACTAGAAGCACGAAGGGAGTCGGACTCCGGGTCAGCAAGAGCAGGAAGAGAGGACGCAGGAGGAGACGGCAGAGGGACACGCTGTGGAGCAGTGGAAGGACGAAGCGCCATCTGGTGTGTGCCTGGGACAGCAGGAGGACGCTGACGCGGAACACGACGACCAGTGCGAGCAGCACGAACAGGCGACGCACGACGAGACTCAGGCGACGCAGGACGAGACTCAGGCTCACGACGCTCCGTAAGACCTCCTGTCGGACCAGTGTAGGGAGAAGGACTAGGGAGTGGCGAGGCAGGCTGTAACTGTGACTGCGACTGTACAAGCAGAGGACACGCTAAAGGGGGAGTAGGACCAGGAGCAGAAGGGAGACCAAGAACCTGCTGAAGGAGCGGAACGAAGTACGGCCGCGGCCGCGCAGCGCCTCCAGAACCAGCAGAGACACCACCAGCACCCTCAGCTCCAGGGTCTCCAGCTACAACTCCCGCAGCACCACCAGTAGCTCCAGCAGCTCCAGCACCTCCAGCTCCAACTCCCGCAGCAGCTCCAGTCCCAGTAGCTCCAGAAACTCCAGTACGAGCACCTCCAGGGCCAGCGGCCCCAGCAGCTCCAGCACCAGCAGCACCTCCAGCAGCTCCAGTCCCAGTAGCTCCA